CCAAAATAAAAATTTGGAGAGGTGGGGGAAAACCCCCTGTCTCGTTTCCCCATACCCTTCTTATGTGAAGTCCCCCGGGGGCCGGGTTGGGGGTATGGGGTGTTTGGGGCTGCATCCCACGGTTTTAGTGTGTGTCTGGCTTGGGAGAAAAACTATTAGGGATGTACGTATATGTTTTTGGGGTTTAGCTTAGTGGGGGATTTTTTCCAAACACCCCTCCCCCCTGAGGGGACTGTCTGCGGGTTTGTGCCCCTTTTGGGGTTACTAAAGGTAGATTGCCCCACCCTGTTATTAGGGAGGGAGGGGGATTGCCCCCTAGTTTTATAAACCTTTTTTTTTTATCTGGTTCAAATAAACTAGTCTATTTCCTGGTTTATTTTCCAAAAACTGGGGGCGTTTTGTTTTGTTAGGGGTGGCTGTGGTGTTGTGGCGGTGTTCGGACTGAAAAAGGGGTTTTTCTAAGGGAAAAGTACGGTCTTGGTGGGTTTTCCGTTACAATACTATTTTTTGGGGTTACTCCAAAAAATTTTTTTAGAGAAAGAGAAAAAAGAATGGTTTTTAAGTTGAAATCTCAATGCGTTTTGTTTTTTTTTCTTCCATGACTTTCAGCCCATTTCCCTTTCCCCAAGTCACAAATATCACTACTACATCGCATCGATTGCGCTCTCTTCTTCCCGCGGTGCTTTAAATAAAAAACCTGATTACATTTTTAGATCCCAATCAGCAGTTATTTTGCATGGCATTGGCAAGTTAAAACTTTGCACACCACTGGACTCTAAAGAGACTAATTAAAATTTAAATCTGTACGATTATAGGCGATCAAATAACTGCAGGAATAATATATTTGACCTGAAGATAAGCCCTAGTTATCCACAGTGATTGACGGGGTATGACCAAGGTGCACTGATTTTGTACAATTTGTGTATGGTTGTGTAATTGGGTTTTTTTTGCAGCCCAATCTTACCAAATGGAATAACAGTTTGCACGTCGTTGTAGCTAAATGGTCTACAGGTTTTTTAGTTTTCCTTTTTTTAAACAGATTCAAATGATGAATTGATCCAAATTGAAGAAGACTAGGGTTGACCAAAACTTGGTTTTCATTCAGCAAAAAATTTGGAAATTTCAACCAAAATGTTGACCATGGGAGTCAGTGGGTAAGGTCATAAATGAAAGAGGTTTCAGTTTTGGTCTTAAATTCTGTTTGGACTGTTGGAGAATTTCAATTTTGCCAAAATCAGTTTTTTCTCAACCATACAAATAGTATGTATGTTGTGTGGCAAGTCAAACATAACCTGACAGTTTCCCCAAATCTTTCCCATTTCTATTCAGTATTTTTGCTTTAATACCCATCTTCAATATCAGGGCACTTATACCCCCTTCCTGTCCCAGGCCAATTTTCAACTTTCAGCATTGTCACACTGTGAATGACAATTGCAAGCAGTCAATGCAAGCACTGTAACTCAATAGTACATTTGTTATATTTTTTTTCACATACATTAAGCTTTCTTTTGGTGGGTTTTTAATCATCACTGATGAGTTTTTTTATTCTTTGCTACATAAAAAACAAAAAACCCACCTAAAACGTTTTGAAAATAAAAACCGCCACACTTTTCCTTTCGTTTTCTGTGTATAAAAGTGTTTGCGAAATAATATAACTTTTCTTTATTAAATGTAGGTCAAAATGTATTCTGCTCTACATTTTCTTGGTGAAAAATAAATAATAATAATTGAATTGTGTAGTTGTTTTCAAATTGTTTATATTATTATTTATTTATTTAATGTTTTTTGTTACAAGGGTTATATTTTCAGGCACCACTGTGAACCAAAGCAATGCAATGTTACTAATATAGTAACATTGAAAACATACGCTTTGGGCAAGTGATTCCAGATTGTTTTTAAACACATGTATGATAGCTACTACCGATGTATTTTATTGATATTTGTAATCAGATGTTACTGAATTTAAACTGAGTAATTCAGTCTTTGTGTTGATGAGTAGCATGTGTTTTGGGCAAAGGCTGATACACTGAGACAGATGGGCTGTGATTGGCCCTGATATGTATCATGTGACTAGCCTTGGAACCAGTCACAGCTAACAACATATATTGTATACAATGGATGGCATGAATGGAAGCCATCCAGTTCTGTATTACAATTGACTTGTGAACTGCAGTGATTGGTCAACAGGCGGATCACATGACATCTGGCGAATGGGCCGATGTAGTTGATATGTCATCGGGCTGTGTCCCATGACAGATCGCTCCGCTACGCAGCCCTGCGTTCGCGTGAGCGGCTCGTTTTTGACAGGACACATCATATGACGCCCAGTCACTACGTGAGTGTGCTATAGGCCGGACAGGAGATGATTACAAACATCTGCTGTCTCAGGAATTATTTAATTTTTTATACCACGGTAAAGGTTAAGTGTTCACCTACTTGAGACTGAAAATAATCAAAAGCACATTTTTTTTTGCAGGTAAAAAAATGTGCAATTATTATTTTTGGTTTGCAGGAGCCTGTACAGCATTTCACCTGCCCCATTTCAATGACGGCCTGGTGAACACCTTTGTAGTGCTACACATGGTATCTATAAGTAAGCTCTTACCCTGAAAGGACCCCTTTGAGAAGTCCTAAGGTTCTTCTTTCCAAACGGGGTGTATCAGTAAGCCAGGCACAGCGTCAATGAACAGTCTAGGCGGCAGGGGCGGACTGACAAATCTCATGGGGCACCCCCCGGGCAATAGGGATCATGGGGCCCCTGTGTCCTTGTCCAAACTCAAAAAAGCCTATGAAAAAGGTACCAGGGGCATCTCATGGGCCCCCTACTGACCGAGTGCCCGAGTGCAGTGCCCGAGTGTTTTCCAAATGGTCAGTCCGCGCCCCTGGTCTAGGAGAATGCTTTTTTGATACTTTTATTGTAAATTGCCACTAAGATGGGGTACAAGGAAACTATGGACTCTCCAGTAGCACAGAGTCTAGAAGCCTTGAGGACACTGCTCACTTACTTAATGCTTCTAAAGCACAGTCTTTTCAGCAGCAGAAAATGGACTGGAGTTACACTGGAACAAAAAACCACCCATAGGAAATGTGCAAAATAGTACAAGAGACACTGATGCACACAGGGGATATGTAAGCCACACAGTCACGGGATCTGTACACATAGATCCGTACTCACTTCCTTCCAGTATCAGCCAGACATGTCTCCTGTGAGCTCTCCAGAGCAGATCCTCAGGGCAATCCCTCAATCAGCAAAGATCATTAGAATAGCCTCTCCCACCCCCCAAGCTCCAACATTGGATGGGACCTCAGTGAACAAGCATAGAAGCACAGCTGGACTTCCCAGAAGGGCAGAAGCCCTTCAGGCTGGACACTTCTCCTCCTGGACAAGAACCCTGCTGTTCCAAGCTCAGGCTATTTATGCACTCTTTGGCCACCTACTGGGCACCTCTCCCAGGGATTGCCTGGAACCACATAAATATCCAGGCTGCTTATTTGACTCTCCCAGCCCACTACATTCCAGAACCCTCCAGAAGGCAGGGGGGGAAGCAGTCAAATCTGCAACCAGTGAGACACAGAACAGCCTGAAATAATCACAAGCTGCTCAGCTGATTGCAGGAGAGCTACAGGAACTATATTTACCAAACCTATCTAGGGCAGTGCTAAACATACACTGCACTGATGATGGACAAATAGCCTGAAAACAACTGTATGCAGTTTGGAATAAATGCCGGTATAATATTAGGTGGGATATGGGATGGAATGAAACCTGTGAACACTTTCTGTTCTTAAAAGTTCCACCCAAAAGGAGAAGTTCCGCTTTAAAGATTGGTCCTCCACTCCCCATTAACCCCCCTGGCGCTATTCCGGGTGTAGCTCTCAGGTTAAAGTTTCAGCACCACAAGCAGTAACCCCCCCCCCCCGAGCTATACTCGGGAATACCCTGCAGCATTGCTCTGGGATCCCTTCTTCACTTACCTTGTCCTGCACTCCCATGATATCCCCCCTGCAGTGTCCACAGCCCTCTCCTCCGGCCGATGCCGGCATCTGTCTTCCGGGTTCCGTTCCCTGCGACGTCGGGACATACAGGGGAGGGAACTGGCGGGAAATTTGAAAATTTGTAAAAGTGACATGCACTAAATACACTAAAATCACATCATATTCCATTCCTGTATCAAACCATTTCACATACATTATGTCCCGAGTGCTTTGTCCGGCGCCCTGCCTGCATTTTTACTGTTCTTTCTGCCTGGAAACTGAGAGAAACGTCCATGGTGTCCAAAAAGCGTCCCTTTAGGTCAGACGCGGTTTTAGACCGGCTAGAGAACAGCGATAGTAAATCAGAACCACTTGCAGAATTGAGTGATAATGATTGGTGGGGGAAATTCCTCATCAGACACTGAAAACGATTCTGCGACTGAGCTCAGCGATGTGCGAACTTGGCGCTATATTTCACATTTCAGTGTTTTTGGTTTGATTATAATATTGAATTACATTTATTATTATTATATTATTATTTTTTATGATTATTTAATAAATTATCATTTCTGATTTCGTGTTTCAAATTTTAACATCCCCGGGATGTTTACTAGACTATTGTTCGGACAGATTTCAGTGAGTTATTCCTGAGAATTACAGGCCGACAATAAAAAAAACAATATATTTCCATGCAAAAAAATGTACCGCTTTGAGCACAGAAATATGGACATAATCAGACCGCTAGGGAGGCTACGAAAAAACAAAAAAAGTGCTTATTTAGATGCCAAAAAACATGGCATAACAATAGTAAACATTTTACCAAAAGATGTGCTAATAGAGCAGCCATGGTTTGTGTTGTACAGCAGGACCAGGACTTGTATAATACCCTTTTTCTGATGCAAAATAGCACTTCAATGGCTGTGTGTGGCAGTGGAGGCGTGGAGAGCGGGCCTCGTGCCCCCAAGGTGAGGGGAGAGTGGACCTCTCCTCGTGTCCTCCACGGCGGGGGAGAGCGGACCTCTGCTCGAGTCCCCCGCAGCAGTGGAGAGGGTGTCTCCTCTCAGCGGAGGAGAGCGGACCTCTCCTGCACCTGTCCCCTCAGCGGCACATCCAGTATAATGGCAGTGCCAAAGAAGCTGGAAACCAGAAGTTGGAAACCGGAACTCGGCTTCACAATGAGGCTTGGAGCGCAGGTGCAGCCGCTCCATCATCTGTGCTCGCCGCTCGCCACACAAGAATTTCTCCTCGCATTTGGCGAGCGGCTTTACCAAGCCCTGGCCTAGCCGATCTGAAGCTGAAGTTGTCCTCCTACCCTCCTTCCCTGTAGTCTTGTGGGACACGTGACAGGTCCCAGAAGATGACGGGGCCATTCAGGAAGCGCAAGGTATCACAGCCGGGTGCCCACACTGAAGAAGCTGGCGCCTGGAATACAGGACAGCTGGTGAAACGGGCTGCGGCGGGGGCACCGTGGGCTCATGGGACGGGTCAGTGGCTGTTTTCTAAAACTCAGCAGCTACAGTTTTTTTAGCTGCTGACTTTTATTTTTTTACAGAGTGAGTGGAACTCCGCTTTAAGGCTTTACTGTGCTGCACCTCGAACATTGGAACAAACTTCTGAGCAGCTTCTTTCAAACAAGGACAGGTGAACTTGTTATCGCATCTGATTGCATTCTGGCAGCGCGGAGCTCAGGGTTGATTGACGGGAAAGAAGACAATTTCATTGTTTCATGTGGGATCAAGACGGTGTGAAATCTCACTATGAACAGCCGATTGCATTTATCGATGAAGTAATATTCCTCAATGAGAAGCTCGATGAGCCGATTGGGACAAGTTGTTTTAATTTTCCAAATTGTAGAATTTATCTCACAGCGGAGGAAGAATAACCATTTCTTAATTGATTTTCAATACCGAGTTTGGATTACAAAAGGTATTTCATATGTTTTGTCTGAAGTCTCGCTGCATTTTAATTTCCTCATCTTGCAGGATAATCATGTCCAATCCACAGACTTGAGATCTTGCCATAGCTTGAGATAAGTACAGTGGGGAAAAAATAATGATTCGATCCCCTGCAGATTGTGTAGGTTTGCCCAC